GGAACCCTATTTGAGCCAATGATGGAAATTTGCCCCTACAGGGTAAACGCATTGATTTTCAGTTTAAACTAGGTCTCTTTTGGTCAATTCAAGATTTGCCCCTTCTTTTCCTCTTCTTTTCTCCCCAGGGATGATATCCTAGCATCAGAAGAGAAGCATGCTAGGATAAGCCTTCAACCCTGGTAGCTTCTGCCAAGGGGAACAAGCACTGCCCATTTTTGGGACTCAGTGCTCAGCCCCACATTGCCCACACTGAAACATCTGTGCCCTGCTCTCTTCCTCGGCAGCCAGGTCCACAGAGATCACACTGATTATTTTCTCAATGGTCAAAAACTACCTGGATTAGATCTAGTCTCTGCACCCTCCCAGGGGCATGGAGAACTTTTCCTCTGTCTTCATCTGCTCTTCTTCCTCTCTCTTCCTGCTCTGATTCCTTCAGAATCACAGAGCCTTGCTCTGCCCTAAAGTCCAGTTCTTGCTACAGGAAGCCCAGTCTTCTTTTGGGGACAATTTGGAAACATGGCACAATTCAGCCATTTTGTGCAGCTCTGTGCATCTCCTGCTTTTCTTCACTTCACCTGCCCCACCATCCCCAGAACACAGACTCCCTGATCATCAGCAACCCAATGCCCCTGGAGACAAGAGGACCTCCCATGGGTGACTTGGGGGCATGGAGGACTCAAATTTGAGGGCCACATCACCAGGGACCATCACAAAAGGTCTGTACCCTGAAGCTCACACAGGAGTGATAACACCATGATCTTTCAGTCTTTGGGACTGCTTCAGACTCTCAGAGTTCTCACCGGACCCTTCAAGAGAAAGCCCCTTCGAAGACAAGACTGAGATAGAATTTCCTGCAAGACAGTTGTGGCGGGAGGTGTGACTCAGTCTGCTAACCGATTTAGAGAATTTCTTCATGGAAACATGAAAATGTATACTTGCTGCAACTAGAACATTATTTCTAGAAGGGACCTTCATTCATGGTATTTATGCAAATACATTATTTAACGCATAACAACTTACAAGGCCTGCTTTGATATGGACAGAGTTTTTGTTTTGTTGTTAAATCGATTTAATTTGTATTTTGCTATACAGAACTTTCAAAAGAACAGAAAAATTCCCCATCATTCCATTCTTTAAAAACAAAGACATAGGGGCACCTGGGTGGCTCAGTTGTTAAGCATCTGCCTTCAGCTCAGGTCATGATCCTGGAGTCCTGGGATCGAGTCCCACATCGGGCTCCCTGCTCAGCAGGGAGTCTGCTTCTCCCTCTGACTTCTCCTCTCTCATGCTCTCTCTCTCAAATAAATAAGTAAAATATTAAAAAAAAAAAAAAACACAGACATAATTTGAAAAATAGCTCTAATGGGGGGCACCTGGGTGGCTCATCTGGTTAAGCGTCTGAGTCCTGGTTTTTGTTTTGAGATCAAGCCCCACATCAGGCTCCATGCTCAGCACAGAGTCTGCTTGAGACTCTCTTTTCCTCTCTCTCTACCCCTGCATTCCCCTCCCAAGTAAATTTAAAAAAAAAAAAAAAAAAAAAAAAAAAAAAAAAAAACCTTTTTAAGAAAAATAACTATAGTAGGAAATAAAGGCTTTAACTTCTCAACAGCCTGATGTTCTCGAATTTAACCGTTCAGGACTCAATTTGCATTTCTTTTGGAAGAATACACTGGACACCTATTATGATTATTATTATTTTTAATACTTTTACCTAGCCGGCCCCTACAGCACCCATGTAGGTCTGGAAACTGCTTACATCTCTCATGTTTACTGTGCGTGAAGCCTTTTTAAAGATGGTCCCAACCAGTCCTCACCCCAGGGATTGTCAAACTTCCATAGAAGAGAAGAAGGGGGGCTCACTCTCTTCTTGAGAAGCAGACAAAGAGAGCAGCCCATAGCAATCATTTCTGACTTTGTTCCCAAAGGAGTTTGAAAAAACTTGCCAATGTCTGGATGCCAGTGTAGACCCACTGAAGCAGAATCTCTGGCAGTAAGGGTCAGACACTAATATTTCTCCAAAAGCTTTTTATTTTATTTTTAATAATTTCAGGACTACTGAAAAGTTGAAAGAATGGTACAGTGAACACCTACACACCCTTTCACATAGATCACATTAATTGTTAACATTCAGGGAAGAATGAGTTTTTAAAAATTCTCCAGGTGATACTAATACACAGAATTGAGACCAACCCCCAGTGATATGTAACTGAGAAGAACTCAACTACAAAAAGAAGGACAGTGCAAAATGTAACAGATAGACCAAGAAGGAAAATGACTTTTTAAAAAGAAGTCCTGGGGATGCTCAGAACCCTCTATTTCATGCCCTGGTTCTGTGAGATACCCTAGAATCTTTCTAATAAAGTCACCATTGGGACTTAAAGTAGTGTGATTTGGAATCGTGTTCACTACAATCAAGAGATTCAAGAATGGTACTCAAAGACGGCATGATTCTACAGACCCACCCCTAACTAGAAATAAAACCAGAGTCTATTGGCTTGTGAGATCATGATTACATTAAGAGAAATACATGTTATAAAAAACACACAGAAGGGGGCACCTGGGTGGCTCAGTGGGTTAAAGCCTCTACCTTTGGCCAGGTCATGATCACAGGGACCTGGGATTGAGCCCCACATCAGGCTCTCTGCTCAGCAGGGAGCCTGCTTCCTCCTCTCTCTCTCTCTCTGCCTGCCTCTCTGCCTACTTGTGATCTCTGTCTGTCCCATAAATAAATAATTTTAAAAATAAATAAATAAAAGATAAAAGACACAGTAGGCTTGAGAGATCAAGAATCTGTTAAGAGAAACACATTTTTTAAAAAAACATACACAGAAGCCATGAATACCCAAGATAATGGGATTGAAGATAATTAGACCACAAGCTCAGCTACGGTTTTGTGGCAATAGCCGGTGTGTTCTAAAGCAGACTGTTTTTCCACTAGTGACTTAAGTCCAATCTTGCATAACGCAGGTGCTGTACCAAGTCGGGAAGGGCTGGTGGCAATGGGAGTGCTCTGCCCCAGGGGTGAGAACTAAGTATTTTATCAGTGAGGCGGTTTAGAATCACTGCAACATGCTGATTATAAAAGGGAGACTGACTTTTAGTCAGCTCTATTATTTTTTTAGACACGTTCGGAAATATTGTTCTCTGTAGACACTGCAACCCATTATGGCCCAGACCCAGGACAAACCAGGTCCACCCCAGACCCCGTGCCCCCGCTCCCAGGTCTAATTTTAGAAAGACCAAGCAGTCACCAGGATCCACGCTGTCCCCTGATCTCAATATCTTTGAATAAGAATCTTGGATTCTATTTACAAATTTTCATTCATTTTGCAAAAAGACAATGACGCTGTAACTCTATATCATGCAAATACAGTCAGAACAGGACTTGGGCTAGTGCCCTTTTGGGATACAAACCCAACAGGCATAAAGTGTTCATTTTGCAGTCTTTCTTTTTTTTTTTTTAAACTTTCTAAATTTTTTTTTAGATATTTATTTATTTATTTGACAGAAAGAAAGACAGCAAGAAAGAAGGAACACAAACAGGGGGAGTGGGAAAGGGAGAAGCAGGCTTCCCGCAGAGCAGGGAACCTGATATGGGGCTCATTCGGGGCTCGATGCAGGGCTCAATCCCAGGACTCAATCCCAGGACTCTGGGATTATGACCTGAGCTGGAGACAGACACTTAAGTACTGAGCCACCCAGGTGCCCCACTTAATGTTTTGCAGTCTTCTAAGTCTAATTATTTGCCCAAAAAAGTACTTGAAATAATTTCTCTGAGCTACAAATAAGTTGATATTTCCAAACTCAAAGAATAGAAATGAACTCGGAAAAAGGAAATTGAATACAGTAAACCAAAGATAACGTGAGATAAACTCAAGCCTCACTCTTTTGTCTGTGGGTTTCCTGTAGAAGGGGAAAAACACACTTTGTCAAAATTCAAATTCAAGAATTCAAAATTCAAACAATGAAAGTTTTTTTAAGATTTATTTATTTTATTTATTATTTATTTATTATGCGACAGAGAGCATGAGCAGGGAAAGAGAGGGAGAAGCAGGCTCCCTGATGAGTAGAGAGCCCGAGGGGCTTGATCCCAGGACCTTGGGAATGGAGCCAAAGGCAGCTGCTTCACCAAATGAGCCACTCGGGCGCCCCAGGATAAAAGTTTTTAAGCAAAACTAAACTCTCAAAATTTACACTCAAGAAATAGCGATTCAGAATTTTTCAGGAAAAGGAAGAAGAGCCAAGCATCCACCACAGCAGTATTTCAAGGAATGCTGTGAAAGTCAATGCCAACACAGGCGTTTGGGCACCCTCTCCCCTTTGCGAAGATAGGCAAAATGCAGAGAAGCTTATGAACTGAGCAAAATCTCCCCAAAGGCTACCTTCCTCCTGAGAAAGTCTGATCTGAAGAAAATAAGGTTCAGGATCAAATTTTTAATGCCATAGGTTAGTTGTTGGAACTGCAGGACTTTTTTTTGTGAAGGTATAAACATATTCCTCTGTTTTCAGGGAGACTTTAAAGTGATGATGCCTACTAATAAAAGTCTAAATTATAGGTAAAACATTACAAAAGCTGATGAGGGGAAATAATGATTAAAAAACAGTTAATTCCATTCTGTATTTGCTTTATTATTTTAAGGTCATCAGAAAAAAATCATTTTTAGGTCATCAGAACTTAATCGTTTTTAGGTTATCAAAAAAAATAGTAAATTCTTTAAAGATTCCAATCTCATGGACTCTGAGATCTGGATGGGATCAGAGGAGCAGAGCGTAATAAAAACAAAATATTTTCATACCAGGCTAAAGAGCTTATTGAATTACATAAAGCGCCTCCGAAGAACCAAATTCTTTTTTATTACTTATTCATTGTGTATATTATTAATGAAACCCCGAATTACAAAGCTTCACAACTGGAGAATCATAATAGGTTGCTCATCTCTGAAATTCCTCTCCAAAGGAAGTCACTGGAAGGAGAAGGAGGATGTGGGAGTACTCACTGTGGCTAGCCGACAGAAAGTCACTGGCACACACGTCCCACTCTCTGGCAGCTAAAGAAACAGGTGTCAGTGGCTTTCCTTTATGGTATCTTGCAACAAATCAGCAGTCTGGGCTCCTGCAGCTCTGAGCAGCCAACGTAGCCCCAAATGGCGGATTCTCAAGCTGAGGCATCCAGGCTGGGCCTGGCCCCGGTGCCAGCAGCCAGCCCCACATACAGGAGCCCTGCAGCCCGACAGACAAGCCCTGCGTGGGAGTAGCTCCTGCAGTGGGAGGGGCCCGGTGCGGGAGAATGGGTGAGTCATGTACTAGGTGATCCACACACAGACTCTCACAAAAAGCAAAGGCTTCCCTTTCTGGCAAGGGAGCCAAGACTACAGTGGTGGCACAGGATCTGTGGTAGCGGCTGTGCCTATGAACATCCTTATGAATCTGCCTACACCTGAAAACGGGGTATTATGGAAAAGACAAGTATCTGTGCCTGCAGCTCTGTCTTTGTCTGGCTTGCGGGTCACTGGGATTATGATAGTCTGGGTCTCTGGTTGTTCCCGGTAGTCCCTACATCCAGGCATGAGGTAGCATTGCAATTCCTAACCTCTCTGTGGGTGAATGGGGTTATGCAAGCTGTTCTGCCATGGTGACCAGCAATTCAAAATGGTAGACTGGGTCTCCAAATGACTGTAAGAAGCAGAGGGCCTTACTGACCTGTGATGGGCATGAGCCAAAAATTACTCCTTATTGTTCTTAGTCCCTGGAATTTGGGAGCTATTTGTTACCTCAGCATAACCCAGCCTCTACTGACTGACACGAGGACCAAGGCTCTTGGAGGACAACATGGGCAGTGATGTATTTTTCTAACTTTGAAACACTCAAAACTCTTTTCTAATTTTTTTTTAAAGCATTCATGGACTTTCTAGTTCTCCCAAAAAGCTCATGCTTCAAACACCACACTTATGATTATTTATAGAGTGGCATTCTTCAAAACCCTCACTAGGAAGTTCTTACAACCTTGTGAGAGACACCCCTTATTTTTATTTTTTTTTATTTATTTATTTTTTAAATATTGTATTTATTTATTTGACAGAGAGACACAGTGAGAGAGGGAACACAAGCAGGGGGAGTGAGAGAGGGAGAAGCACGCTTCCCACCAAGCCGGGAGCCCAATGCGGGGCTCGATCCCAGAATCCTGGGATCATGACCTGAGCCGAAGGCAGACGCCTAACGACTGAGCCACCCAGGTGCCCCGACACCCCTTATTTTTAATCCCAACACTCTTTCAACCTCTTTTGCTTAGATAGTTCTTGATCTTCTAAAGAGTGGCAAGAAATTTGAGAATTGCCTTTGAGGCTGAAATTCAACCAAGTCCATCCATCAAATGAGGAAATTCAATATTTTTGTTGTATATATACAATGTGTTCAATGAGCCATATAGTGGTAGATATATTGACTTACATGAAATATGACCCTGATGTCTCAGGGCTCACACTCTAGTTGGAAAGAGAAGAAACATACATACGAAAATGGACAAGGCCTCCTTTGTGAAGAACTGAAGCAGTTAGTTTGATGCAAGGGTAAGTGGATGGAGGCTGGTGGTCGGGGCCACTTCACGGAGCCTGCAGGGCTGGGCCAGGACACAGCCATTTGTAGGGATGATCAAAGTTTAGGCAGCAGGAAAAAATGAAGCTTGTTCATAGTTCATTTGTTCAGTAAACTTTTATTGAGCATCTGCTAGAGACCGGGAATATAAAAGCTGGTAGTGTTCTTGAAGATCATCCAAGGCCAACCTCCCACTGCACCATGAGAAAACCAACTTGACTATTCTTACCTGGGACTCTCAACTTTTTAAAAGGTAAGTAAGTACTGGCCTACACTAAATAAAGCAGAGCTCACAAGCATGCCTTCAGCCTCCTCACCCATCACGCCCTGACTCACACCCCCCCAACATTACACACTGGTAATGCCTTACCGAATGTTTTCGTCATGTTATTTCAAGTGTCCAAGTCTCCGTGTAAGCTGTGCTCCATGCCTAGATCAACTTTCCCACCTCTGGTTGCTGGCTAACTCCTTGACCTCAGCCAGGATTCAACCCCATGGGCTCTTTCTTCACAGAATCTCCTCCAAAGACTGAGGTGAAACTGAGTACCCTTCCTTTTGCACACACATACTTATCACTAATTTTGACATGTTGGAATCTGAATCTTCCCCTCTGAAGTCATCTTCACCAGGGTTGCAACCTAGCCCGTCTCGTTCATCTTGCTCTAGTTTACAAATTGGTTTACATCCCTTTTCCATCCCACTGGCCTCTTCTACAGCCTGAGAGGCCTCCACCCATCCCCGCCCACAGCTTTGCCTGGCTGACTCACTCTAGTCCTCAGGTGTTTCCTGCACTGCTGGACCTTCCGTGACCAACCACCCTTGCCCAGTTCCCTGCTTCGCACACCATGGTCCGTGATGCACAAGACCAGTGCCACCACACCATGTAGGTTTCAGTTCACACATCATCTCCTCAGAGAAACATTCCCTGATCTGGCAGTCATTATTTCCCACCCAAGGTCATTCTGTCTTCTGTCTTGTCCCAAATCTACATTTGATGATTCATAACTATTTTGAACAGGTTGTGGCAATACAGGTCTTCTTTTCTGGTCATTGAATTAAATGTGGGCAAGTGACTGTGTTTGGTGAGTTTTAAGGGAAAGTCCACTGGGAGCTGACAGAGTTCTAGGAAGAATTTTCTCCTGATACAATGAAGGTGATAGTCTAGGGAGGGAGAGGAAGTTATCTTCCCTCCTTTCCCCCACCTCTTTCTCCCTCTGCCTTTCGGAACCATAAGAAGATGTAATGTCTGCAGCTATGGCAGCCATCTTGCAACCATGAGGCTGAGGAAAATTCCAATATGTTTAGGAGGAAAAAATGGATAGAAAAAGCCTTTGTCCTTAATGATGCCACTAAATTACTGAAATCAGTAACATCTGGCTTTTTAAAATAATTAAGTCTCCTTATGCCATTGTTAGGTTTTCTATTACTCACAACCAAAGTAATTTAGTTGATACTCCTAACCCCTATCTTAAGTACCACTTATTTTTCTAATATATACCACTACTCAAAATTATCGTACTTATTAGAACACTATTGGTTTATTGTCTTCCCCCACTAGAAGCTAAGGACCTTGGGGGCAAGAACCTTGTCAGTTTTATCACTGCTATATTTCTAGAAGCTAGAATGGTGCCTGCCACTTGGTAGGAGATCAAAAATCTGTTACCCAAGTGATTGCATGAATGAATATCTCCAGTAACAACTCTGTCTCTTTTCTGTCTTTTACAGCAGAATGTGAGCTCCTTTAGATCAGAAACCTAGATTTTATTTATTTTTATTTCCCCCAAACAGACTGCTTGAGATACAGCAGATAATTAATAAATATTTAATGAATAATGATGTATGTTTTCTGGACGTCTCTTGAATAACCACCCTCCACTTAGGATACAATTGCTGAACATCCAATATTGGACACCTTGGTAAAAGAAGTCTAGACTGTTGTTTTGTGTGTGTGTGCGTTTGTGCGTGTGTGTGTGTGTGTGTGTGTGTGTGTGTGTGTGTTTTAAAATTTTATTTATTTATTTATTTATTTATTTTAGAGAGAGAGAGAGAGAGAGCAGGGGGTAGAAGCAGAGGGAGAGGGAGAAGTAGAGAAGCAGACTCCACTCTGAGCAGGGAGCCGGACACAGGGCTTGATCCCACAACACTGAGATCCTGAACTGAGCCTAAATCAAGAGTTAGACGCTCAACCTACTGAGCCACCCGGGTGGCCCTGGACTTAGTTCAGCTTACAAGAGAATTTTACAATAAAGTCTTACCTGGAAAAAGATCTTAGAAATTAGACTTGTAGACCAAACTTCAGATTAAATACTTCTAGTAATGAAGAGCAGAGCCCCTCAGGAAGCAGGGCTCACAGTCCCGTTGCAGTGACATTATTCCCTGAGTGGGCTCATATAGGCTTCTTTGGAATTGACAGCTATGGTTGAGCTGTTACCTACTCATCTTGTCTTTGTAACCCAACCCAGAAAGAAATGCCTTCCCCATGTCGGCACACAAACCGATGGACCTGCAGGGATAAAGGTGCCATATGTCACTGACTCGAAGACCCCATTGATTGTAAGATTCCTCTTGTTTTATGGCCCACTAAGAACAAAAAAGCAGACAATTAATTTCTAAACAATGATATAAGACTCTGAGACTGTCAGCCAAGAAAAGGAGGCAAAACCGACAAAGAATAAAATATTTATTTGGAGTCTCAGAATTACATTTGGGAGAGCACAGATTCCAGAGTTACCAGAAAAGTGTCCCACTTCTATAGGGAAAACCCTGAGGTTTTTTTGAAAAAGAGGGATAGGGTAGTTACACGAGTTACACAAAGAAGAAAAGAGGGAAAAAAGCTGCTAATTTGGTGCTGACCAGTTGATCTACTTTTGATTACCACCTCATTGATTAACTTATTGGTGCTATCAAACAAAACTGTCCCTGGAATGTATTAATTAACTTCACTGTTGTCATTTGATCAGAATGCCAATTTCTTTGTTGAAAGTTCATGAGCAACTGCTTTTGAAATGATTTCTGTTGCCCAGCTTAAGAGCTCATTGGTGCAAAAGGAAAATGGAGCTTCAAAATGGAGTCTCTCATGTCCCGAAACCTTATACAATCCCACAGAACAATACGAGAATATATCTCAATTCCAGAGGTGCATCTTATAATAGATAAAATATAAAATATGGTAGTTCTACTTTAAAATAATAAATATAGAATTCCACAGCCACTCCATGCAGTGTGGTTAATCCTGCTGTGATTCACTGGCAAGGTCCTTTTATCCACAGTCCTGGATGACTAATGACATTAGCTCTCTTCAAACCGCTGTTGTAACTTCTCCCCACCCCTCATGTTACCATCCTTACTTCACATTTTACAGAGAAAATAGAAGCCATCAGATGAGAACTCTATCCACTTCTCACCTCCACCCCACACACACTCCCACCTTCTCCTCCTTCCCTCTTGCTTCAGTTTTCTCCTCACGCCACTGCAGCCAATGTAGAAAGGTCACCAATGTTCTCCATCTTAATAAATCAACCTATCAACTCTGTTCTCTTTGC